ATGGTCTGCTCCCACATCCCACTTCAGCCAGATTGGTGGGCCATGTCAATGCTTCTAGCCACATACATCCAGGAAGCAGTTGTAGTGCAAAAAGTCTGAAAAATACAAACCCTGAAAATCTGAAAAGTGTCTCATTAAGTTCTCAAAAGAACCTATTTTAGTATTTGAATTTGTATTAGGTGATTTTAAGATGAGTTTAAGAAAGAGGGGCTCTGCTCTGGAATGGAATTTGTTAGAATGTGGGGTGTTTCTTCAGGCATCTTGATTGTCTCTAAGGGGAGGGCTGACTGAAATAGAATTCAAGCTTTACCTGCTAGAGAAGCAGCAGTCACTCGAATTAGCCAGGAGAGGGGGGTGTTTGGTATTTTGTAGGCTGCATGATGACCTTGTTTTTTGTCCACACTCAGACACAATTTTAAAGTATTCTTGTTTAGTCTCACTCTTTCTTGTCTAATGTTGATGTTTTGTGAGATTATTTATGTCCAGCTGGGGAATAGTACAGCCTGGCTGTGGGTGTGTGCTCCAGGTCAGCTTTAAACATCACTGAGGTCTTGCTGTGTCAAGCAGTTTCCAGCTTTGCAACTGCTTTTTTTCTTCCTCAGACTCTTAGAAGAATCATTTAAAACCTGCTTATATCCATTGTACTTTTTTGTAATTATACCATTTCATTGAATAGTATATAAAACATTGAAATTAGTATAAAAAGAAAAGGGGATTATTTCTATGAGAATTAAGGTGGAACATTTTGGGAAACACTTTAAAATATTTTTAAATGGCTGTTGAGTCAAGAATAGTGATAATAAAGGTGAAATAAGTAGGTCATTGAGAACACACTCTTTTTAACCAGAAGTATTGTTTTACAATCTTATTTATAGTTTTTATTCTACTTTTTTTTTAAATTGAGGTAACATTTGGTTTACAATGCTGTATGTGAGTCAGAGGTGTAGGATCACACCTCTTCAGATGTATGTTACCACACCACCTCCAGGTTTACCTATTGGCCTCCACCATAGGCCATCTGGTCCCCTCCACACATTGCTCCCCACCACCCTCTTCCCCTCTGGTAGCCATAGTTTACAGTCAGATTTCTAGGGTTTGTTTTGGTTTGTCCTTTTCTGACTGTTTTGTTCCTCTTGTATTCCACATGAATGAGACCATGAGTTGTCTTTCTACTTCTGACTTACTTGGCTTAGCACAAGCCCTTCCAGTTTCATCCATGTTGTTGCAAATGGCAAGAGTTCATCTTTTTTATAACTGAGCTGTATTCCATTGTGTGTGTGTATATGTATGTTCATATATCTTGTTTTCAGTTTCTAAGAGTATATATATTATTCTTATTCCACTTGTAAATTATACCACATTGTAAATCATGTCTTAAGTGTTATATATATAATAGAGATGATGTGGAATTCTTACAACTGGAGTCACACTCAAAGCTGAGGCCTTAGCATTCTTACACAAGGTTAGTGACTTATATACTTGGATGTATTTTAAGTTTAAAAAGCTTTTGAGGCATGTATATGTTCTTTTTTATGATCCCTCACTTAAAGACTCATTTTAAATTAACAACCATAGTCCTGCTTATGTAATATCAGAGGCATTTATTAAATGCAAAATAAGTCATGTAAAGATTTGGGTTCAGAATTGTTCATTAAGACTTTATAATGGTTTAAAAAATAGGAACAATCTAAATGTTTATTAATAGGAGTTATTAGATTATATTTAAACAGATTGGGTTAGTGTAAAGTTCACTAAAAGACCTATTTTCAGATATTATCTTTTAACAAGAAAAAGGTTTATACAGAGTAAAATATAAAGAGCTCACTAATGGGGAAAAAATGAACCAAGAAGTTGCAGGTATTGGGTTTCAGAGTATTTTCTTCCAACATATTCTCTGTCATTTTCTATACTGTACAAGTATTCTATAATGAATGTGTATTGCTGCTAAGTCAGGGAATGCTTTTCAGGAAAAGGGTCCCAAGATTGGGAATTTTAGAAACATACCTGCATTCATATCAATCTGGCTCTCTGCTCAGTCTGTTTCATTCAGTATCTGAACCTCAGGGTAAGAGAACACTTAATGCCACCATGAAATGTAAAGAACAACAAAGGTGCAGGTATCATTTAGGACTCTGTAGACTTATTTGACAGGCTGTTGTTTCTAAGGTCTAGTAGAGGTGTCATCTGTGATTGTTCCCACCCTCACCCCAAAGCCAACCCCCTTATTTATACCCTACTTTAGTGTTCTGCACACTTAATCTTTAAAAAACAAAAAGTGCATGTATCACATCTTCCTCATTCTTTAGCATCTTACACTGCATATTCCTCAGAAAGAAGGTAGGAATGGCTCCCTTTGTGTTAGCACCTAGACAGCCCTTTGCTCCTCAGTAATTAGCTAAATGTCTTGAATAAATGTCCAGTAGTACCCCTACAATGAAGTTCTTCTGAAGTTGTATGCCTTCACTGTCTTCAGATATCAGGAGTCGATAGTAAAAGAGATTCTCCAGTGGGCCACACTAAAATATTGCAGCCTGGAGAACATCAGTGACAGGAAATTAGCCAATCAGCAGCAAACTGTACCTTTCTTTTAATGTTTTCACAATAGAATCATATGTAGTCATTTTGGAAGAGCTGTTGGACATTATCCATGAAGCTGAAAAGGCACATTACCTTTGCATTTCTAGGATTTTACCCTTCATATATACTTGTATCCTCGTTAGAGTATTGTTGGTAATATGTTTCTCAATAAAAGAGATATTATGCAGCAGTTGAGGATGAGGTAGTTATTTTTTTTAAAGACTTTTTTTACTTACTTATGCATACAAGACCTGGGGGGTAAGCTAGAGTTGTGGAGTGTGAGAAGACAGAGACAGAATGGGAAGCGAATAGGTGGCTTGACTGAAGTAGTACACTGCTGAGGGGAGCAGATGGTGAGACAGGAGAGGTCTGCTGCACCATGTAGGTCACCTCCCTGGCTGAGGATTGAACTCGTGCTGCATTTGCTGCTGATAGCTTCATAATGCTGAGACTTAACCTCTTGCACCACCGGGATAGCCATAGGCCTTTAAAAAAAAAAAAGATTTATTTATTTATGCATATAAGAACTATGGTACAGACCAGAGATGTGGGAGGTGAGGATTCACCACAGACACAGTGGGGAGCAGAACAGGCAGATGTACTGAAATAAACTGCTGAGGGGAATAGCTGGCATGATAGGAGAGGTCTGCTGCCATGTGGGTCAGCTCCCTGGCCTGCCTGCCATCAAACTTGTGCTATGGCAGCTGACAGTAGCTTGATAGTACTGTCTTTAACTGTGCCACCAGGGAGTCGCCTTATATCTTTCTGTTCTTACAATGATGATGATAGGGCCCTCCCTGGTGGTGCAGCGGGTTAAAGCACAGCACTAAGAAGCTAAAGCCACTTCAGCATGAGTTCGATTCCCGCCTGCCCCAGGGGTGACCCACATGGTGCAGCAGACCTCTCCTGACCCGCCCTCTGTTCCCCTCAGCAGTGTACTGTTCTGCTCCCCACTCTGCCTCTGGTGAATCCTCTCACCACCCCTGCACCTCTGGCCTGTCCCCCAGCTCTGTATGGATAAATAAATAAAACTTTAAAAAAAATGATGATGATAATGATGTTTGTCCTTTCATTAAATACATAATATATGCCAGCACTGTACTACACATTTGACATGTTTTATCTAGTAATTCTTAAAATAGTTATAAGGTAGATATTATTGACATCCACATTTTCCAGCTGAGGAAACTGAGGCACAGAGGTCATATCTTGCACAGTGTCACCTAACTAATAAGGGGCAGACCTTATTTGACAACAATCTGAGGTTAGAGCAAGCTGCACTTTTAACCCCTAAAATACATATCCTTCTTTCTACTAAAGGAGAAGGAAGATTTTTAGATCTTCCTTCTTGTTCAACATTAAATGCAAACTTACTTTAACTTAGCATATCTGAATTTTTGAAAAGTTGTGGTAGTTAAGAATAAAGTCATGAATTATATATGTTTTAGCCACTCTTACTTCATGTCTTAGATAGGGTTGCCCTTATTCTAATGTTCAAGATAACTGTTGTCTTCAAAATTTACTTCCTCTGAGATTCATTATTTACCTGATTTCACCTTGTATACTTAAGTTATTGATTGACATCACATCTCAGTTTTTCATTTTATCTCCTTAAATTGCCTACATTTTTTGCTGTTCCCCAACAAATGTGAGGCTGTATTATAAGCAGTCATTATAATTATAGACTAATATAGTTCTTTAGTTCATCAATAAAGTCAACTTTTAGTTTTCTGAAAGTAAGCAGAAAGTACGTATGTTCTGAGTTCCACAGTTCTTAGGATTTGAGAAAAGGACATGTACCATTTTGTTTTTGAAAACCACTTTTCCTTATTCTAAAATTTGAGAAGAAATCCATTTCACGCCCCCCTTGTTTTTTTATAATATGATAGTTTATTTTTACATCATTTTGTACATTTTTTTTTTTCATCTCAATTGTAATCCCTGTGGGTTTCCCATCACCGTCACGGGCCCTTTTATGACATATGTACTTTTTTAGTTTTTCTCTATCCAAATAAGTTATTCACTTCCTTAGGAAAAATTCCATTTTCCTATACTATTTTTGTTCCATCTCTGCCTAGAAAACATATATTTATTATGGTTGAAATTAAAATTAGAAAACAACTTCAACTCAGCCATATTTCATAGGTGACCTTACTGCCACCATCAGAGACTTAATCTCTGAGCCGCTTAGAAATGGATACTACTCTCCTCTCCCTCACCAAGGATCTTCTCTGATAGACCGCCAAAAAAATCAATTTATTTCTTAGTGTGAAGCTTTTATTGAGTTCTTTTGTTTTGTGGCCCTACTTCCTTGCAGAGTATGTGTGTGAAGAATTGGAAATCTGCTTGTACTTTGGTTTTATGACAATTCAGTTTTCTTAAATATGGCCTACAGCTTTCCAACTAACTTTCCTCTCCTGTAGGCCAAGTCATCAAGGCATGGGACATCGGGGTGGCCAGCATGAAGAAAGGCGAGATCTGCCACTTACTGTGCACACCAGAATATGCATACGGATCGGCTGGCAGTCTCCCCAAAATTCCCTCGAATGCAACTCTCTTTTTTGAGGCAAGTATGTGTGTGATGTTGCCTTGTTAGCATCTGCTCTGCTATAGTGCTGGCTCTGAAGCAACCGGCAGTGGAACAAGGAACTAAGCTTGCTGTTGAGAATCAGATCCAACTTATTTATTTTGGAGCTTGGCTTCTTGAATTGTTTCCCACAAACCCAAAGGGTGTGTGCCAGTGCTTTCTTAGAAACGTGTCTCTGGCACAAAAAGGTCATATTCAAATAAACAAAATACACCAGGCTTAGAAATAAAAGTGTGGTCAGTGGTGTGAATATGAAGTACTCATAATTGACCAGAATATGGTGGAAATGTGGAAGATAAATATTGAAATCATATCACATTATATAAAGTATTTTCCTTTTTGAAGGTTTATAAATATCATAGCTACTTCTTCAGTAGAAGCAGTAGGTGGTGATAATATTAACAGGCAAAATAAAAATGCCTGAAATATCACAGCTAGGTAAAATACACATTCACTTGGCTTTAGGCCTTATGATATGATGTATTCTTACATTTTGAAGAAGGAAATTCCATGAATCTGGAGTGGAAAGTGGTGGTCTCTAGAGTCAGACAGAATAGCTCTGTGCCAGGGCTTTGTAACCCTGGCTGTTTGCCCACAGGCAGTTTTCCTAGTATTTCCTGTCTGTCTTTGCACCACAGCCCCACAGGATGTAGTCCGAGACAGTATCATTACATGAAGGTTCTTTCCAGGTATTGAAAAGTGCAGTGTTCTCTTTTCCTTACTTTTTCAATAACTAAGATACCTAGATAAATAGAAAACAGAGTTTTGTTTTATAAAATGAAGAGAAAATCAGTCACACTTGCCTTTTTAAGTATATTAAATTGACTTTGACTGGGCTTTCCTCAACCAAATTCTTTTCTTCCTTCTAGATTGAACTCCTTGATTTCAAAGGAGAAGATTTATTTGAAGATGGCGGCATTATCCGGAGAATCAAACGGAAAGGAGAAGGATACTCAAACCCCAACGAAGGCGCAACAGTAGAAAGTAAGTATTGCTGTTGAGAGGAAACTAGGCCTTAGGAGTTGGGTTCCATCCATGTAGATGACATGAGTGTTTTGTCCTTTTTAATCTGTTTATAGAAACCAACATAATATATATAAAGACTAGCTTGAAATTCTTCTGCAGTTATTTAATGGCCTCATTTCATAAATATTCATTCAGTGTGTGCCAAGTACTACTGTATCAGTCTCTCCGAAACCAAAAAATGAATGAAAGGTAATGCCATCCATCAAAACGTCTTATCAATGGATTCCTTTCTATATTCATTGCCTTACATATGTATTTACTTATTTCTCACAATAATCACTTAAGGTAAGATATGTTTTCTCCATGTGAGAAAAGTGAGCTAAAACGAATTATATAAATTTACTAATGATATAGAATTACTAAACAAAGCAATAGATTATAATCCCCTACAGAGCTCTCAGGCCCACTTCACTGGCATGAAAAACAAAATAGAAAAACACAGTTCATTTTAGTTAGGTCAAAATTAGATACTGTTCCATTCTATTGTGTGTCAGGAGACCTGGATTCAAGACCCACTTTTCCCCAGTGACCTGAAGCTATTCCATTTCCTAATTTGCTCAGTAGAAGTAAGGACATTTCTGAGTCTGGGGTAATTGGACATTCCATCTCAGAGCACCTTGCATGTGTCCGTCACTTTATATTATATAGTTAGTGGCCACTCATTTCTCCATAGGTAGTGTGTGAGCACCAGGGTCTTTCCTTCATCTTTATGCTTCCCGCTTCACCCACAGTGCCTTACACACACTTGATATTCAGTAAAAACTTTCTGTATGGATAAATGTTAGAAAGATGCAACTTCATTCAGCTGAAGTACTTAGCTGAGTCTCAGTGACTCTCAAAAAAAAAATTGTAAGAAAACAGAAATACTTTCAATAAGAAAAAAAAAATCAGGGCCCTCCCTGGTGGTGCAGCAGGGTAAAGCACAGCACTATGAAGCTATCTGTAGCCGCTGCAACATGAGTTTTAATCCCTGGCCAGGGAGCTGACCCACATGGCACAGCGGACCTCTCCTGTCTTGCCCACTGCTCCCCTCAGCAGTGTACTTCAGTTGATCTGCCTGTTCTGCTCCCCACTCTGTCTCTAGTGAATCCTCTCCCTCTCATACCTCTAACCTACACCTCAGTTCTTGTACACATAAATAAATAAAATATTTTTTTAAAAAAGGAAAAAAGTCAGATCACTAAGAGTAGTAACATGATCTATAATGAAAGTCCTATTTAAAATAAAGAGTTCATTTGAAACAGTTAAATAGCTATTCCTTATTTTTAATGTTATATATATATTTTTGGATACATATTTCATTTCCACAGTCTTGCAAATTAGCTTACAAATTAAGTTTAGTTGTTTTCTCCCATTGGAAATGTTATAAATAGTTATATATAGTTATAAATAGTGTTATTGCGGTTGAGGTGTTTAGATAATTATCATTTATGTTCAGTTTTAGAGTAAGTAAAGACATGTTCAAATGTATAATGTTGGAGAAATATCTAGGCCAGGCGTCAGGAGATAGGAGTCAGGACTCAGCTGACTCTAAGTCATTTCACCTGTCTGGGCTTTGATTTGCTTCCTAAACAGTACAGCAGGGTTAGACCTCTTGATTTCTAAGCTCTACTAGCCTTAAACTTTGCCATGATTGGGCCCTCCCTGGTGGTGCAATGGGTTAGGATGCAGCACTGCAAGCTAGCTGCAGTCGCTTCAGTGTGAGTTCAATCCCCAGCTCCGGAGGTGACCCACATGGTGTGGCAGACCTCTCCTGGCCCACCTGCCACTCCCCTCAGTGGGGCACCTCCTCGATCTGCCTGTTCTGCTCTGCACTGTCTCTAGTGAATCCTCTCACGGCCCCTCACCTCTGCCTTGTACCCCAGTTTCTGTAAGAATAAGTAAATATATCATTTAAAAAAACAAAAAAACGTTGCCATGATCAAATTCTGTTTATGAAAGTTATATGAATGGTAGGAAGTTATCTTCAGCATAATAACAAGCTTTTAAGAGTTTGTCTATAGTGTATGTTTTAATATTTTATTGTGAAGGTTTTCAAATGTATACCAAATAAGGGGTTTATTTCCAGTGACTCAGTGACTCCCCCAAGTCAACAGTTTATTATATATATTTTTAAACTGGAGCTTTTTGTCAACTGAATTAAAAGGAAAAACTTCCCCATTACAGAAGATAGCACAAAAGTATCAGAACAGTTTTTCATGGGAGTCAGTTTTTTAACTTTTTATTTTTAAGTAATTTTTATTTATAGACAAGTTGCAAAACTGGTATAGAGAATTTCCTTATATGTTAATATCTTACCTGACTATAGTACTTCTATAAAAATTAGGAAATTAACATTAATTAGATACTATTTATTGTTCTATAGATCTCATTTGAATTCCACCAGTAACCTGCACTGATGTCCTTTTTCTGGTCCACTGTCCAGTTTGGGCTCCAACTATTTAGTTGGGATGTAGCCTTAGTGCCTTCTAATCTATGTCAGTTCTTTAATCTTTCTCTGATACTTTTAAAGACAACCGGTGTTTATTTTGTAGAATACCCTTCAGTTTAGGTGTGTCTGATGTTTCCTCATGACTAGAGGGAGCTTATATATTTTTGGAAAGATGTCACTTAAGTGACACTGTGTCAGGAGGTGCCTGATGCTGAGATCTCATTACTGCGATGGGTCTGCTGTGTTTCTCCCCTAAAGAGTTGCCGTTTCCCCTCTGCATCTGATTTGATGTCCTGGGAGATGATGCAAATGCATCACACCTTTACACACCAATTTTAACATCTGTGAATGACTTATACACAGAACAGTTACTACTCTGGGCTTTGCCTGATGGTGACTTTTCCATTTAATTAGGATTTCACTGTAAAGAAAATTGTTCTCCCCATATAAATATCTTTGTTTATATGAACATGGACCCAAAATATGCCAGGTTGGTCATTGCATGCTGACTTTTGTGTTCTTTCCTTACACTTCCATTGCTTTTTAAACACTCTTAATTTTGGCATAGATGTTTAAAATTCATTTTGTAACTGCCCTGCCCCAGCCCATTTCTCCAAGGAGCTCTAATTCCTTTTATTAGGGAATGGTATTTAAAAACCAAAATTTAAGTGCTAGGTATACAAATGTCATGTTGTTACCTCTAGCAACTTCTGGCAGACAGAACTGGGAGCTACACATACCTCAGCATGCCTGAGCACACATCTCTGTGCTTCTATACCAGAGTTTAAGTTTTAGACTGCATATATGGTTTAAAAGGATTGGTATATACTAATACTTCCTGTTCCAATTCAATGCCACTGGTTTGTTCTAGCCTTCTCCCATTGTTTATCTGGAATTGCTTTCTCCAAAAGTAAAAAAAAAAATTGCTGTCATTATTCACAGTATTTTTATTTGCTCAATTTAGTATATATATCATTTTATAATTCTAGGCCATACACTTGTGAAAAACAAATTTCCTAAGTAGGAAAGTTTGTGTATAGTTCCAATAGAACAGGGTAAGCTACCTAAATCATGTCACTTTGTCAAGTTAATTATTTTGAATTAAAGTTACTTAAGAAGCAGACAGTGCAAGAACATGTGTCCTTGAAAACAGGACATATGAAAGGTATCCTCTCAGTAGGAGAAGGATAGAAGACATCCTTATTGAGATAGGAAATTTAGATTTGATAAGCCTGTGAAAACAAATTTAGTCACTTTTGATTACTACAAGCCCAAATCCCCTTTTTCTTGTCTGTTTTTCTTTATATCTAAAAAATAGAAAAACTGCCTGCTTTGGCTACTTTTTAGGTCTTATATCTTTAGAACCCTCAGTACATCTGAATTGTTTTTTTTTTTTTTACCTCCTTTTATGTCATGAGACATAGTTTATCATTAAACCACCCAAAGAACCTCGGACAGGAGAGGGGCAAGGTTCTCTTTTTAACAGTTCATTCCCACCTACCTCCTGTATGTAACCAATCTCATTAGGTCCTGCTCTATTCTTATATTTCTTTTGCAGAAATAGTATTTTTATATCCCCTTTCTGCATAAAGTGTCACACTCCTCTATAAGTAGAATTTTTAGAATATATTTGGGTACTCTTTTGTGTAAAATTTTTTTTTATTTTCAAATTAAGGAAAGTTAGTGACTAATCTTTATGTCTTTTGTTATATTGTACTTTCCTGGGAAATTGTAGAATAAATGGTTTCTTACTTTTTATCCCAGAAGCCCTTTTCAGTTTTCTGAAAGAAACTCTATATAAGTTGTATTTTCATTTATCAAGGTTAAGGTGTCCTGTTTTCCCCTTTGAAACAAGTTAGCTACGCGTAGGACAGAAGGCTGACTTTTAAGTATGCCTGTCAGAAACCAAGATCACCATGTTCTTTTTGAAGCCTCCTCAGTTTTTACTGGTTTGTCTTCCTTTGTAACATTACCATAGATTAAAATTCAAAACTAGGTATAAATCTCAGAACTGAAGCCAATTCTGTTGTGAAAGAGAACAGATAATCATCCACTATGATGTCATAGATATACAAGAGTTACAAAATTTCTGTCACTTCTGTGTAAGGTAAATAAGGCAGTTGAGAGACAGGTGCTCACAGGCTTTGGAAGTGGCGGGCTTGAGCTCCAAATCTTGGAATCACTACATACATGACTGGAGACAAATTACTTAGCCACTTGGCACATCCACTTCTCTCTTTGTGAAGTGAAAACAACAACCCTTTATCTCCATAGGTTGTTATGACAGTTAAATCTAGAATGATTCCTAGTACTGATGGACAGTTAATTTCTTTTTTCTATCTTCTATATTATGATTACATAGCTTGTTTTGCTTCCTTTAAATAGATCTAAGAAACCCTTAACTCATCTTTCTTTTATATCCTACCTTCCACTCTTTCAGCAAATCTTTTGTCTCTACCATGGTTGCCCTGGAATCCATGATTAATTTGTCTTTGTCTTACATAAGTCAAGTTAGATATATATCTTC